TTATGAATAGTTTGCAAATTGGAAGAAAGTGAAGTTAATGAATGTGCAGAGAGTTGCAGCATTATATATATCAATATATGCTTATTGATATATTTCAAAAAGAAACTATTACTAATTTTTTTTTTCCATACAATAATGACGACACAGAGGACCAAAGGGAGAATAAATGATACAGTATACTAGTATCTTTTTAATAACAATGAAATATAAAAGAAGGAGAACAAAAAGAGGAATTAGGAGTCTGTGTTCGTGAGTTGTCTCATGAAATATGAAAAGAGTAAAAAGAATATGAAAATGTTTTTGGTTTTCTTTTTTATAGTTCTCGGGAACCTAAATTCTCCAGAGACAAGTGAGAGAAACTAGTACCAAACTGTCTCAATTTTCTCTCCATAAATTATATACACTGTATTGAAATCTGTATTTATTGAAAGTTATATCTGTAACTACGTATGTAAAATCGTACTAATACCGGTTGGTTACTGCTCGCTCAATTATACATGCAAACTTTCTTCTTTTTTCTTGCTTAATTTTGAAACTAATTATCAAGTTCATTTCAATTTTATTTGTCAAAGTTATGTTTATATAGTTGACAAACAAATTTATATTTTTTAAGCTCGAATTACAGTGAAACATATGTTTACAGGACGTGTGTATAAAAGAATCTATTGATCAATGATCATTATTTGTGAATAAATTTTCACTCTAAAAGATAAATAAATTATTTGGGGATTCATGAGTATCAAGAAATACTAAAGAAAATATTGGAACAAACATAATAAGATTGATAGTTTATTTTTCATGGCCAGAGAAACAGAATCATTGCATGTCGTCTGTATAAATATCCAATCAGACACATCATGGTCGACTTCAATCTATGGTCCAATAGTATTATAGTTCACATTTGACGTTACTGTGTTCCCAAACTCTGGTAACTAGATTTTTTATGTAGCTAGGTAAGGTAAGGTTCACTTCACACACCTATTAACTCCACCAGATTGGTGTCCCAAACTGATTCGGTCGGTTTATGTTTGCAATTTTTAGTCTTTTGTTATGAAAAAATTAATCCATTAGGTTTGAGCCTAACGTTCCAAGTGGTTATGAGTCTTAGTCCGATGGGCCAATGGGCTATATCTCACTTAACAAGCACAACCTTATCGGCCCAAAACAATCTTTCTATGCAATTTTTTTATTCTCACTATTTATCACTAACCTGCCAACATCTTTGGGATACACTATTAATCATTTTGAAACCCCATTTCTAAATCTACCCTACCATTTATGGTTATGCCTAACACCATCTTTACTTAACCGCACCAAATCTAAATCGTAACATTCCTATTCTGAGTCCGGGATGTTACACTAAACGTCTCGGACATAGGTGTTGTTCCTTTCTTTGTTATATTTTACTCCAAATACGATATGAAGCTCGCTGTGTCGCGCGATAATAACTTGAAATAAAACAAAGTGTCGATACTAAATGACACCTAAACTCGACAATAAACAAGAAATGAAAAGAAAAAGTGACTAAGAACCGAACTATCTCATAAACTCACCTGTCCAAAGATAAGACGACTTGCAAAGAGATGAACATTTTATAAAATGATTATTGACAAAATAGAATCAAAATACGATCGCAAGATGTGAAGAAAACCTAGAATCGAATAATCAGGAATCCCAGAAAAGAATGCTCAACTAAAAAATCTCCTGTTCATATACATCGCCTCTCACGTTTACGCCTGATCCACAAAATGCAACTAAGTCTTTTACCACCTCCTTTTGGCCATTATCTTTGATCCTCATGTTCTATAACTGAAAGACATTATTCTTAGAGAATAGGCAAATCTTGTGACACAACTTCAAGAATCGGCCGAGTTTCGCCTCCCGAAGCTTCCAAAGCTTCCACAGCTTCCATACTATAAGACCGGCAACTAAAATAGAACACTGCACTCATCATTGTATCAATAAGCACCACAAACGAATACATCACTACAAGAAGTGGACCTTCCCAAATCCTGGAAGACCCATCTCCATAACTCAAACTCTTAACTCTATGCTCAAACAATCCTTCCACAAACGTCATTCCTATTGTTGATCCTAGAAATATCAACAAACCAACCTGAGTCTGTCCTTTGATCAGATCACTCGCTCTCACCAACGCTCGTGGCCCCGAAACATCTTCAAGGATCGAGATCACAATCGTCGTGTTACAGATTATTATAACGTTCGCAAACACTACCGAGAACCCTAAACCAACTAAGATAGCTCCATAGGCATTGAAATCAGGAGAGAATCCAAGAACAAAGAACGAGCTACAAACCGCGACGAGGAAAACGCAGAAGCTGGTGAGACAAACAACAATCACCATAGAAATCCACAAGTAAGTGATCACGAGACGTTTCCATAGTCTCTGCATAATCACCAAGAACTTGCTTATGACAACTTTCCTCCTAGAGTAAGTGCAATCAACAGAGTAAACAACAGCTGCTCTAGACAAAAGCGAGAGAGTGATGAACAGAGGGAAACACATTGCAGAAGAAACAGCTGTTTCAGAGAATTTCTGACACGAGTTTCTCACAAAAGGCAAGAGAGGTAAACCACTCGATTTCGCAACTAAGAGAAGCCTGACAGTGAGTGAATTAACGACTGATTGATCAACTAAGAGGTTTGGTAATAGAATGGCGGAAACAGGACAGATCAAAAGAGCAGCGATTAGCATGAAAGCAACGAGATTATACCGGAGAATACGAACGGTTTCTCTCAAGATCTCAAGAGCATTCATCGAATGGAATTGATGGTTAGGCGATGATGAATCAATCTCGAATTTTCGAAAAACGGATCCTTGATTTGTTTCCATGATTTTTGTTTTTCTGGGTTTCGGCTACATAGCCAGATAAACTCGAATAATCAACAAAGTGAAGATTTTTATTTCTTGTGTGTGATTATGGGATTAGCATGGATTGGTAATCATCATCATGAGAATTGAGAAAGGAGATTTGGGGTTATATGTAATTGATAAAAGCATGAAAGCGTTCACGAAAGCAATATGAGGAATATTTTGGGATTGATGAGGAAGAAGAAACAGAAATCACGCATAAGGGCTTTCTTTCTTCGACTCGGGAAAGTGACGGTGACGAAAGAGTACACACGCAAAAGCCTCAGATTCCTATCTTCTTACATTCAGTTT